ATGCAGTAGTTCTGGTTTACCCAACCTTGGCCTTCAAGCCTTAGTTCAGACATCCTGTCTGCAAAGCCTTCCCTTCCAAGCCAGATGCCCCTCCTATGTGCTCAGTGGTATCTTCTGATGTATTACAGTCATCTATGTCCCCCAGAGTCTTGCTGTTTCTGTTATCACTTCTGAAACTTTGGCACTAGAACAGTCCTGGCAATTGATATGATACATGAATCATGTACTGGATTCTTCTGATTGGTTGGAGTCTGGACATGCTTGGCAACCGCCAATGACTTAACTTTTTTTCTTTTTTTTTTTTTTTTTTTTTTTTTTTTTTTGTATTTTAGGGAAGAGTCCACAGGGTGTTCAGGGTCTCACTACTAGATTGGACTCTTAGTGATCCATCTGTTCACAGCCTCCCTAGTGCTGGGATTACAGGCGTATGCCACCACGCCCAGTCTCAATTGACATCTCAGCATGCCCCAGGGGCAGGGCTGGCACAGCAGGCCCAGGGATTGAACTCCTGCTCCCTGCACCTGCTTGCAGGCACTTTAATCCACTGAGCTGTTTGGCCAGCCCTATGACTTTCATTTGGAATTGTGTTCTGCTTAGAAGAGGACACCATAGTGAGTTGTCCTTAAAAGAGCACATAATGAGGAACAGTGAGGAGAGGCATCCAGAAAATTTATCTGTGCTCTGTTCTAGCTGTCAGGTTCACCCAGGTGTCTTTGAATAACAAGGTCTGCTCTGAAGAGTCCCAAACCCAGTTGTGGGGGTTCAGATCAGAATACTTCCCACAACTCTTTAACATTCAGGAAGGCTATGTGATCCTTTCAGAACCCTGTCTAACACCACCTGAATTCACCCACACAACCCTTCTAACTAGGCTCCCACTGCCCCCTGCCCAGGTCCCCGTTAGCCACCAGACTCTACCAGTGGGCTGCAGAGGTCTCTCTCGTCCTGTGCTGTGCTCCTAGCAGAGATCCACCGCCCTGTCCGTGCGACCCCAGCCCAGGCTCCACCTCCCGTGTGTGTGCATTAGTGTGCATCCCCTTTGCTGGTAGCCCATTGTTGGCATACATTTCAGGAGTGAAGATCCAGGAAAGACAGCTGTGTGTCCTGGGATTTGGGTGATTCATTATGACAGGGAGTTTTAATTAAATTACCCTTCCTTGTGCTTTCCCTAGCTTAGAACACCATTTAGAATGTTAGTGTTTTAGAGACTTGGAGCGTTGGTTTTAACGTTTTTGCACTCTGGCTCTTGTTAATAGATAAATCAAGTGCTGGAGAGATAGCTCAGCAGCATACACAGCTGCCTGACAAAACAACGTCCCAAGTTTGATCCCCAGTACCACAAAAATTCAATCAATCAAGCAAGCAAGCAAGCAAATAAATCAACAAAGCTGATTGCCATGAATAGCTGTGTAGGGCTTGTCCTCTCTCCTGATTCTCAGTTGTGCCCTGGGAAGTCATTGTTCCCAGCAACGTATACAACTCATGAACAGCCTGCCATCTGCTCTGCATCCTTCCTGTTGACAATTTTCCCAGGTTACATGTGTCGTAAAGAACATTTCTCATTTTCCAGAATGTTCTGGGGTTTGTTTTCAATCTGACAGGTCTTCTGACACATTCTTTGGCCTCACTAATAGACAAGGCCTAACAAAAATGCTGCCTTGACAGGAAGGAAGATGGTAAGATTTTCATTTTGGGTTGAAAATCAAATCCAAGTTATGACAACACTGAAGTTCCCAGACCTTATGGATTAACTGTGATTATTTTACTGTGAAATAGTTTTGTTATAGGAAATACCTGCCATTTATTGTTTGTTAGAAACTTTTGATTGGAAATATCTTTTTACCATAAGAATGCTGTCATGTCTAAAGCAGCCATTTGTTCCCATGGTGTGTAATAACTGCAATATGACTGAGCTTTGTCTTGTGTAATAAGAAGTTATTTATAAACTGAGCTTTTACATCTAATTTATATATTAAGTGCAAATGAAGAACTAGTACTTTACTTTATGGTTTCTTCTATATTAGGAAAACTATTCCCAAATGCATTTAAGAAACATGAGGCTCATACTGGACCTTCTTTACACAAGGTAGTCTTACTGAGAATCATGCAGAATCACCAATAGGCTTCTACTCTCAACAGTTTTAGCTTAATTATCTCACCTTTCAGCCTAATAGGAAATGGCAGGTTTTGTAACCACAGTACATTTCTCTTATCCTCTTCTCTCAGGGAAAGATGTGAATTGCCAGCTCAGACCTGGGCTGACTTGTGATACTCTGCTGGAATATTCAGTAATCTGTTAGGTAATCTCTCATGAACCTTTCAGCCTAGAGCTTCATTATTCTCTGTAGTTTGCTTTTCTGTTGCTGTGTAGTGAACTCTAAGTGTAACAGTTTTTTAAAATGTGTTATTGTCTCTTACCATTCCATGGGTTAAGTAGCTCAGCTGCACAGTTCGCTCTCCGAGGCTATGACCAGTAGACATGACAAGAATTGAAGCTGAGGGAGCTGCGAGTTCAGCTAAACTTTGAACCAGAGAACTTACATGCAGCCCCTTGGTTGGCTTGTGCTTCTCACATGTTAATTGGATTCATGAGGAAAGGTTCCCCCAGATGAGTGTTTTGAGAGGCCTTATTCAAGGTGCAAGGAATTAGGCTTTACCTGTTGGTGAGTTGCAGCATATAGCTGGGAAAGGAACGGAAGGTGTCTTTTCAAACTGTCTATTGTGCTATTTTAGAGGTAGAGCATCCTGAAAAGGAGTAAGACTACATAAATATGAAGAACACTCGAGCCACTGTGGGCAGTGTTGGAAGGTTACAGATGCTTAATACATGCAAATGAGTTGGCCCTCACTGCAGGTTAGAAATCAGTGCTAGAAAGCACCCACTGAATGCACCTGTTTCCATGGCAGCCAGTTAGCATCCCACGGGGAGAAATGCTCCTACACACTGACCCCAGCCCTCAATTAGCTCACCCATATTATGGATATTTGAAAAGGGAACTTGGTAAGGGAGTCTAAATAGCATAGTTTCAAAGATACATTCATCTAGAAGATCTCCCAAGCATGTATTCTACTTACATCAAATCAGTAAAACTGTCTTGGCATTTGATCCCTAAACATATGAGAACTGTAATGTTTGCTCCATGTAGTTTTTGCTCATATTTTGGAGGCATGAACGAAGCTGTGTCCCTGGAGTATCTTACATACTTAAAGTAGATATATTTTGGCATTTGGGAAAAAGTCAAGTTTGTCTATATGCTAGAAAATGTAATTGCCTCCTTAGCCTTAATCAGGAAAACAGCTGTCCCATTAATTGCAGGAGCCACAAGTACCTGGATTCTAGCTGTGGAGCTCAGTTGACCCGGACACATACACAGCTCCTGAGAATATGCTAGTTTCCACCCTTTGTAGCATTTTTCCTTTCCTGTGTATACACCTCTCTGGCTCCCTAGGGATGAAAATTTGTGTTTATCTGTGCTGAAAATTTAGGAGTAAGATAAACATTTAAGTTATCTATAACCAGAGACTATGCCAGGAATAAATTAGGCTTTTCCTTAGCCATACATTAAAATATTGGTTGATCACAGAGAAAGACAGGAAGAATAGGCCTAGATATGAAAAGTAAACTTTTAGAGACAATTTCTATAAGCTGGCCCAGAGTATGGGTAGGTGGGTCAGTGCTTACCTTAGTTGAGCTGCTGTGACAAAATGCCATAGATTGCACCTTATCTTAGGCATGTCCTCATCCCCACGATGGTTATTAAGCTTATGTTTTAGAAGTCTTAGTCCGTGTTTCATAAGCTTACATGTAGTAATGACATCTTGGAAGGGCCTGAGTGGAGGAAAGATGGCAGCCCAGGAGCAGAGAGAGAGGGGGGAAGAACCAGGAAGAGAGATAGAAGCTTCCAGTCATGTCCTCAGTGAATCCACCTCCTGAGAGTGAGCGGTGGCAGCACCCCCATGGCCCAGTCCTGTGCGGCAGGTCCTGCCTGTGAGCATGTGGGGCCTTGGCCGGCTTCTGTATGTAAACTGTAACACATACAAACAACAGAAATTTATTCCTCCCAGTTCTGGAGGCCAGGAGTTCAAGATCATGGCACCAGCATGGCAGGTTCTGGTGAGGGCCTTCTTCCACCGTGTGGACTGCTCGCTTCTCACTGCGTTTGCACATAGCAGAATGAGCACACGAGAGCTCTGAGTCATTTTGAAGGACACTGAGAGGGCTCCATCCTTGTGACTTAGTCATCCCCCAAAGGCTCTGCCTCTTGACACTGTTACACCATGGGAAAGGATTTCAGTGTAAGAATGGAGGAGGTGGAATTCAGTTCATAGCATTGCTATTTTGACTTATGCAATATACCGTGGAATGCTAGAGATAGAAGACCTGGGAGAGGCCATTATATAAGGCTGATAATTTTATGTTATTAAGCATGCATTTGATAAAGGTAAGAGGCATGGTTTCAGGAAAACATGGGAGAGAGGAAGGGAACACCACGCAAATAAAAACCTTAGGGCAGCAGACAAGTCTGGGAGGGTGTGGATAGTCCTCTTTTCTGTGCATTTCTCTTTTGCCTGAAAATGTTGATTGTGTTCTGACTAGGGTACTATTTATGTAGAGTCATGAGCTCACTTGTTGGGAGACTTTCGATAAACCAGTAAACAAGCAAATAATATTATTACAGATTGATTAGTGTTACAGAAAAATAGAAGTGTGATAAAGAATAATGAGGGGTCCTTTTCATTAAGGCAACTGGAATAAACCTTAAAGGAGGTGATGTTACTGATTCCACATCCACTGGTTAAACCTGGAAGAGTATTATGTGATATTTTAAAGTTTTTAAAATTGCATGTTGTTAAAGTTCCAATTAAAATCCTTTTTTCCTTTTCTGAGCCCAAACTGCAGAATACCAAATGGACAGGGTTCTGGGGAGGGAAAGCAAGACAGCTAGATGGCCAGACCCCTCCTGCCTGACCCTTTCCTCCTGGTGACTTTCTCTCCTCAGGGAAAGGGGATGTGTTTGGAGATGTGTTCTGGAAGGAAGCCACTCTCGCCCAGTCCTGTGCCAACGTTAGGGCCCTGACCTACTGCGACCTGCACGTGATCAAACGTGATGCCCTGCAGAAAGTGCTGGAGTTCTACACCGCCTTCTCCCATTCCTTTTCCCGGAATCTGATTCTCACCTACAACTTGAGGAAGAGGGTGAGCTAAGAGCTTCAATTTTTTTTTCTTTTTCTACACTTTTCTTTTTCATATACACTTTGGATAACTACTAGGGCAAGGAACACCCTAAGTCCTTTCACCCTTTATTTGATAGCATTTTGTTTATTGCTTACTTTGCAGAACTCCCTGTAAACTGGAGAAGAGAAGGAAAATGATTACATTAGAAAGTGGATCACATTCCGTGCAGGAGGCATTTGTTCCCATGTGTGTCTAGGGTCTTTGTCCTCAGCAGTTTCTAGACTTTGTAGGTTTTAAAAGGATGAGTAAAACATGAGGTTGCTCATCAGTAAAAGAGCTGCACAAAGCCACCGAATGTACACTGAAGTCTCCCTGGTGCCTGGGACACTCTGAGTGGTACGAGGCCATTAGCAGCCATACTTGTCTTTCCCTTTCTTCCCCTAAGAACCTTCCCCAAATGCCCTCACCATCTTTCCCCTAAACGCTCGTGTTCCTATTTCTATTTGCATTGTCTGATTTGGACCAGGGTTACAGATTAGAAACCCTGGCATCAGTGTTGATATTGTTTCCCCCTCACATGTTACTCCTCCGATCCTGTTGGCTCCACCTGAGCTGGCCAATCTAAATATGTACTTTGTTTCCTTCCTCTGAGCTTAGGTCACAGAACTGCCAGCACCTGGCAGAACCATGCAGTAGCCTCCAGACTCCAGTCCTGCCTGGTGCCTGTGCCATCACCATACTTCCTTGTCATGGCCAACCTTGAAAACAATTCTGACCCTGTACAGGATTATGTCTGTACTTCAGCCCATCTTGTATGGTTGTCCACATATGACCCAAGCGTAACCCCTAAGCCCTGTCTTCCGCCCCTTCTCCCCTGTCCCACTCTTGACCTCCTGAACTGCCAGCATGAGGATCCCACAGACTTCTGCAGCACCCTGTATCCTTTCAGGGCTCTGTTTCCACCTGCTGCTTCCTTAGTCTGGGATTCTTCCTCTCCTGTTTGTGTAAACTGCAGTGTTATTTATTTGTCTCACTCTTCTCTCGTTGCTGGGATGAATACCTGACACCCAAAATGAAGGCAAGAAAGGTTTATTTAGCTCACAGTTACTGGAGGTTTCAGTCCATACTTGGCTGGCTCCAAAGTAGAGTGGCACATGGCAGAGAGCAGCCTTTCATGGTGGCAGCAAAGAGCAGAGAGCAAAAGCAAATGGGAGGAGCAACAGCAACAGTGGCTGCAGAGAGCAAGTTTGTCTCTCTGTCGCTCTTATGTTACACCCAGACTATCTGCCCCAGGCTGGGTGTAGCACTCACACTTATAATCCCAGCACTACGCAGACCCATAATCCTAGCAGTACTCTAACCTATAACCCCAGCACTACTCAGACCCATAATCCTAGACTTGGATCATGAATTAATCACAAACTGTAGAACTGCGCCTCAGTGACTACATGAGGCTTTGTGGGGGACAAATACACACAAACCATAACATTGTTCATTCATCAAACCTAGTTTTGTACCAACTAAGCTAGACTGAAATAAGTAAAACCAAGTGAGAACAAAACTCCCTATCTGATATACAAGAACACAGAGAGCATGATTGCAGTTCACCTGATACAATGCTTGTGACTTACATGGGCTACTGGGGGAGAAGAAAGGAGGTAGCAGCTCCAGGGGAGAACGTACTGGGGAGCGGTCCAAGTCCCTCGCATGTGTTTACCAGCTAGACCCAGTAGGTATGCTGCTAGGAGGGACCGTCTGACCAAAATCCAGAGAATGAAAAGACTTTTGTCTTCTAAGTCCATTCCATAAGGCATGAAATGCCAGTCATTGGGTTTTTATGAAGATATGCTGCCACCTAATTTAAATCCCGAGAATTTTATTGCTTTGCAAATCCTTGCTTGGAGACCTGAGGGGGCAAGACTCTGTTGTCACACTCTGAGCATAACCAAGCATGGAGCACCTAGAATTTATAAATATGTGCAGAAGCAAGAAAAAAGAGGTGGGAACTCTGGACCTGTTTTTGCTGCATGCAATACAAGGTTGGGGCTAAACAATTTTCGTGGTTCTATGGTTTGAAGCCTGCCCATTTGGATTCCAGTAGGCAGTGGCGAAGTGCACATCCACTTCTTCCTGGTTTGTCTGTTGGCTGTGAATGTGGAATGATTGCTGGTGATACTTTTAGCCAACTAGATTCTCTAAGCATCGATTTTTTTTTATTTGTTCCTTCTTTCTGTGAAAGCAAGTTGATTGTAATCAGCTGTCAGTGTTTCTGATAATACGCCTTGAAAAATATGCAGTTTGGATTATCTGGAGGAGTAATAATTATAGAATAATTGTGGTTTACCTAAATCTGCCTTTAAAAAATCAAGAATGATTTTTTTAAAAACCTATACCTCAATGGTCAGGTTGTTTTCTAAGTGCAGAATGATTGACAACTGTAAAGAAGAATTGAATGAGATCTATGTTTTTGAAAGAGCTCTCCCCTGGGAGAGTTTATCTAGCTACAAATGCAGATGGACTAAACCTGTGGACAGACAGACAGAATTTGGCACGGTATAAGAAAGGCTTTTCTGAGTGGTCTCAGGTGTGCTATGTGAATATTGAGGATACCCTTGCTCAGGAACATTGTGGAAGGAACTTAAGCACCCAGTGGAGAACTTAACTAGCTCACCTTCAAATGTCCTTCCCATCCCATGTACTAATGTGTCTGGTATGGATCCAGAGGAATTTCAGAGAGAGCTTTGTATATAAAGAGGTAGCCTTTCTTTCCTTGGAAAAGAGAGACTTGTCACTTTGGTATTGCCATTGTAGTCTCCCATTGTGTCCCTTTGAGAATTAGTTCACAGCATAGATGATGAGAACATTACATGCATGAATTATTCTGGTAGCTATTTTTTCCCTGACAAAATGAAATGTATTCTTATGGTTGTTTTAATCTTGGCAAAATTAAGTGAGTTATTTGCTTAGTGCTTCTAGGACAGTGCTTCAATATCTGTGTGGACTTGGTCATGTAGACCTTCCTCTAGTAGGTAGGAGAAGAGCTCTGAGCTGGAAGGTGCCGCCATGGCCATGTGGTTTATCTCCATGTCCCACCATCCTCGTATCACAAATAGGACATTAAAAAAATGAATAGGACATTTTATAGAAAGGACACAGAACTGAACTGGCAGTGAAATAATTGTTGTCAGAAATAATGACTCCACCAGGACCTTGATTCTCACAGCCCCCTGGCCTGCCCTGGCTTTTGTCTTCTAGGCCCCAGCCTTTGGTGCCTGAGCCCAGGGGTATAAGCACCGCCCAGCTCTCAGCAGAGCCCTTGGAATGCAACTTGGGAAGACCTGTCAATCCCTGTACTTTCCCCCAAGCAACAGGAGGTCATGGAAAAGCATGAGGAGGCAGAACCTGCAGGCCAATTTGGCCTTCTGACCCAGGCCATCTGTCTTTCTTATCTGGAAGCCCTGCGCTGGACGAGCCCTGGGTCCTGACTCTGCTCCTTAGGGCTTCTGCCATTCTAGATGAGATAGGAAAACACTGTCATCTTAAAATGGGTGACCAAGATTTCTGCCTTATAATGTACCCCAGAAAAGTAAATTGGATAATACTTGCCAAGCCTGTACAGACACTGGGACACAGCAAGTGCCCAGGAAAGTTGCGGGTGATTGACATTGTTTTGTCAATTTGAATCACACACTATTCTTTATCATCTTTGCCTTTTGAAAAAGAAAAAGAAGGCAGTGTCCTGCCTTCTCTCCAGCAGGACTCCTGCTTTGTGGAATTTGCTCTGAGGGGGGGTGTTAGTCTAGTGTTCTCTGCAAAGCAGACTCCGACATGGCATCTGTGTCCCTTCATGCTTGCCAGGGGAGAGGCCAGCACTCACCCACTTTTCATCCCCGCAGTGATCGATCTGTGCTGAGACTGTGGGGCAGTCAGCAAGGAGTCAAGAGGATAGAGTGACAGGAAGTGCCTTCTGGGGGAAGCAGCCTATGCACTTAAGCAGGGTCACCTGGAGAGAAAACATTCTCTCAGGCTTTCACAGAAAGCACATTGGCCAAGCAATGGCCATGACTCATCCACATGGCTGACACTGACAAAGGATATACAATCTGAGGTATAGGATCTCAGGATAAATCCTGAGGGGATTTCACTGACCTTATCAGACCCAAAAGCTACAACTCTTGTTGCATAGATTTTGCTTTATCTTGGTCTTGACCATCCAGCAGAAAAGTATAAAAACGAAGTATAAGAAAGTCAACAACTTTGGACATTGCCAGTCTTATGGAAAACCCACTACTATTATGGACTACTGGACTATATTGGAATATTTTGCTGAATTCACACACCTACAAAATTTAAATGACAATGGGATGCCCTTCTCTGACAAAACTAATCAAAAAATGGGGATACAAATGAATGACCTAAGGCTATACTTTCAGGGATCATTTCTATAGTATATTACAAATGAATGACCATTTTGTATCTGTATACTCAAAATAGTTAGGGTAGACGTACAGCTGCATTCTCTTAATTCAATGAATAGAGAGGTTTGTTCTAGTAGTGTTTGTGGACAGGATATCATGTCTGCATCTTTTACAATGAATAACCACTAAGACAGCAATATGCAATGTATTAATTATTGAAGCTGTGCTAGTAATCAGTTCTGAAACTGTCTCATTGCTATTTGTTTCTCAATAAAATTATTTTTAAAAAAGAAAAGAAAGACAGGACAGGGAAATAGAGGCTTCTCCATCCCACATTGCTTACCTAGGGTGCTGGCAGGGGCTCTGTGAGCATCTTCTGCAGGCCTTCCTCTATCTATAATCAGAACTTTTTACATTATTAATAGTAAAATTGTTACCAACCCGAGGTACTCTGCGAGGTACAGCATCATGTCAGCTCATTAAATTCCCATAGCAGCCTCATGGCAGTACTGTGACATTCCCATCTCTCTAGGGAGTAAACTAGGCCCCAGTAGAGAAACATCTTTTTCCAAGGTAGCTGTGAAGTAGCATATCCCAGTCCTG